CAAGATTGGATTTATTGATAAAGATAACCAATTTTTAGACACCAGAGAATGGACCTCAATTTGGAAGCAGATGAATAAATTAGCAATTGATGAATCATCACCAGAGACCTTAACTCCTGTGGAGAAAAAGGTGAAAATTAAACCCGAAAGACAGTATAGTTATTCGCAAAAGAATGATGTTATTGGAATAACTTTTGTTGAAGTTGTACGTGCAACCGATCTTCCTGCTGCAAGGAATGGTATGAAGCCAAGAATTAAATTTTTATTGTATTAAATAAAGAAATAAATAAATACTTATTTATTTATTGTTTGATATTTATATTTGCACAATTTAGTGACTGGCCTCGGTTTTGACATGGATCCTTTTGTTGTCGTTTCATTTTCCAAGCACACATTCCGTACACGTGTCATTAATCATAATTTGAATCCAGAATGGAAAGAAAAATTACACTTTCCAGTGAAAAGAACAGAATTAGACTTTGTAGTTAAATTTAGTGTTTACGATTGGGATAAATTCACTACTAATGATCATGTTGCCTGTAAAACTATTCCGATGAAACAATTGTATGAACAAGCACTGAAAACAAATAAGAATAACATAGAAGTGGAAAACATTGGAGATGGAATGAAGGAAGAAGAAATTTCGCTCGAAGTTCACGACGAATGGGCCGATAAATATAAACCAAAACTTGTCGTTAGTTTAAAGTTTATACCATACGACCATTTAAGGATGCAATTTTGGCGGGCATATGCAAAGCATTACGATTCTGATGGGAATGGAGTATTAAATCTTGTGGAACTTGACTCCATGTTAAATAGTTTAGGATCATCTTTGACGAATAAAACGATATCAGGCTTTTTTACACGGTTTGGTAAAAATCCAGAAAATGGAGAATTAGAATTTTCGGAGGTTATTAGCTGCTTAGAAGACTGGTTAAATGACATCTCTCGTTATAGTGCAGATATTACTGGAGAAGAGTCCGATAATGAGCATTTAATCTTTATGAAAGAATGTCCATTTTGTCATAGACCGGATCTTACACATTTACCTGAAACTGATATTGTCACACATGTGGCGATATGTGCAAGCAATGATTGGGCAGAAGTTACTAAAATTGTTACGGGAGATTTTGTCACAGAATCGCAAGCGCAAAGGAAATGGTTGTCTAAAGTTATTAATAAAGTGGGATATGGTAGTTTTAGGATCGGTGCAGTGAGTATACTATTTTTTTCAAGGTTATTACGCAGCGAAATTGGTTATATTTATTGAATTGTTAACAATTTATTTAGAACAATGCAGTTATTCTTGCACAAGATCGTTTAACCGGAGAAATAGTGGAAGAAAAAATGTCAACTTATGTTCGTTTGGGTATTCGACTCTTGTACAAGGGTAAAAACACAGTTGAGTCTAAAACCAGTATGTATATAGATATATATAAAATATATATAGATATATTGTTTCAATAGATATAAAATATGTATTACATATATGTAGAGAATAAATATATTTTAACATATACTTAATCCTCTTTAAGCAAAAAATCTCTTGAAAAAACTTACCGACCAACAGGGCAAGAAATTTGATAAGCCAACCTCTGCGGAAGATATCAGTCCTTTTATTGAATTCCACGGGCTAAACAAAGAAGAAATCCTTGAACCATTAGAGTCATTCAAAAACTTTAATGAATTCTTTTATCGTAAGCTGAAACCAGAAGCTAGAACATGTGATTCACCAGAAGATCCCCATGTTTTAGTTAGTCCGGCCGATTGTCGTATGGTGTGTTTTCCCACAATAAACGAAGCTACAGAAATTTGGATTAAAGGGCACAGCTTTACAGTTTCTAAATTACTTAATGATGATGCAATGGGTAAAGAATTCGAAGGTGGTAGTTTAGGAATTTTCAGATTAGCACCACAAGATTATCACAGGTACATATGAAATCGATATAAATATTAATAATTTAAGTGAGAAATTTAATTCTGTGATTCATTTATTCATTGATTGCATTGATTCATTTATTCATTTAATCATTTATTGATTTCATTTATTCGTTTATTCATTGTTACAGATTCCACATCCCAGTAGATGGTCAATTGAGTGAGCCGGTTGAGATTTCTGGAGATTACTATACAGTCAACCCAATGGCAATTCGTTCAGAGTAATTATACAATATCTGGATCATTAAATGATTAATTTATTTTATATAATTTATATTTTAAGCATTCTTTAATCTTTATTTTAGACTTGATGTATATTGCCTGAATAAACGCGCTGTATCTTATATTGATTCACCTCAATTTGGCAAAGTTGCTTTTGTGGCAATTGGAGCCATGATGGTTGGTTCAATTATACTTACAAGGTAATTAAGTGCATTATTATTTTAAATTTAACAAATTTAAGATATAAAATTAAGATATAAAGTAACGTTTGTTAAATTTCATTCACACTAGCAAACCCAATACATATATAAAACGATTTGAGGAGCATGGATATTTTGCTTTTGGTTAGTATAATACAATTGATAAAATTGATTGATATAATTGATGGATATAAGTTTATCATAGAAATTTCTTTGCATTATTGTTATTAAATTTAAAATTAAATTTTAACTTTTTTTTTGATAAACAGGTGGAAGTACGGTTGTACTTTTATTCAAAAAAGGAAGAATGCTGTTTGATGAAGATATTTTGGATAACTCTAAACAACCTTTAGAAACTTTGGTTTGTATTATTCTTCAAGCAAGGCGGTTAATAAATGGCTTATGACTCATTTAATAATATCTTTTTAAATTATTAACAGGTTAGGGTTGGAATGCATGTCGGAAAGGCTACAATTCATTATAATAATTGAAGAACCTTTTGATTTAGTTATTTATGTGACAACTACATTATTTTATTAATATATGTGTATTGTATTTATATATAAATATATGTATTTAATAAGTATTTATTATTAACAAAAACATACATATAAACGAAATTTATACTTGAAACTGGAACGTCTATTATTTGCTTTTATAATATTTAATGTGAAATTTTTGTTAATTGGTAAATTTTATTCGGCTTTGTTTCTTGTTATAATATAGTTTAAACATGTTTTAATAAATTATTGTTTAAGAGTTTTTTTTTTCTTTTTTGAACTTTATACACAATGTATACTAAGTGCATATTATGTATAGTTATACATTTATACGTAACAAAGTTATTATGACTATTGTATTAATAATAACTCCGACAAACATACAGTATATCTGAGAATTATCGTCATCAGATTTCTAATAAAAAAAGAATAACAATATGCCAATCTTCGGTCACGTGTCAATCTTATGCCTCCCTCGCGTTTACGTAATATACCATTAAAATTTCCTTAACGCTGACGCTAAAGATAATCCATTATACAAACTATATTAACGTTATCTAAACATGTAGCAAATCAGAATGTAGAAATTTTGTATGTTCTATACATTGAACGAAATAGAGCAAATTTTTAAAGATGACACGCACAAATATAAGCTTGGTAACTTGTAACTTGGTAGCAGGCTAAAAGTAACTGACTTAAAGTAACTGACTTAAAGTAACTGACTCAAGTAACTGACTTAAAGTAACAGACTTAAAGTAAACAGACTTAAAGTAACTAACTAATGTAAGTAACTGACTAAAGTAACTAACTAATGCTGTAATGTAAGTAATTGACTAAAGTAACTAAAAGGTAACCGAAAAAGCTTTGGATTGGTTCTTTAAAATCGATTTTGTCACATCCGATTACCGAATCCGATTACCGAATCCGAATACAAAATCACATTTCGGGTACATTACCATGACTTTGTTATTCTACAATGCAACTCTTAAATTATAGCATACATAGCCAAAAACTTTCAATAATATAATGATATATCCCTTCGTCCGTCAATTTTCACATGCCATTATGTTTTTCCAAACAAGTTTGCCTGCATTACGAGGGATAAAATCTTGATCACGTGCAACAATGAATTGTGTCACGTGACTCACGCCAACTCTTCTATATTTATTAACGCGTAATTCACAATTTGTAAGATTTTTTCAAGTATCTTTTCGTATAGACTTACTCGTATGTCTTATTCGTATATCTTAAACATCTCTTTTGTTAAAAAAAAAAAAAAAAAGAAATCATATCTGAAACGTATTTTGACAATTTCAAGTCAGAAAAAAAAATCATCATTATGCGAGCAGATTCTAAATTTAAAGCCAGAAATCCTTTTACTGATATCTTCTATTTAGATATCAAATGATTTAGTGCATTAAACAAGATCGCGCTTGAATCTTTAAATTATAAATAACCAGGTTATAAGACCATCTTGATGAAGTTAATTGAAATATTTTTGAAATATTTTGGAAAAATAGTACCATTGATCTTTTGTCAATAAGAAAACCAAATGAATATTTTTACCGCATAAAAAGTCTTAGCTGACCATAAATGCAAAACCCGATCATGCTAAGGTCGAGGAGTTTCGTAAAAGTAAATAATTATAAATCTGCACAATTATTCAAAATGCAAGCGATTAAGAAATTATTGATGTGTTTATCATTTAAACTTTTTATCAACATTCCTGATGTTCGACTGAACATTATCTCAGCTTAGAAGCCAGGAAAGTATAATGTCATCGTGACCTAATTATTATACACGAGTCATCACGGAACGCATGTAAAGTATATAGTATAAAATAAATATACATATTATTATATTTATGTTGATGGATGTTTGAATTTATCAATATATGCTTGATATCATTCAAAACTTTGCATCATTATTATCATTATAATTCGGTTTGCACTTCAAAACCAGTATTCCCCGCACTATATTATTGATCATTATGCATCATTTTCTTTAAACTCATATTCAACGTCACCCCCTTGATTGATGAAATGATGAAGACGTTAAAGACTAATATGACAACACAAATATCCATAATTTAATGAATTTAGAAGATTTATTCTTGTCATTTCTGTATAATTATAGTACTTACTGGTTAATATAAATCGACTGATTCACCAAAATTTTCTCGTTCCTTGAATCCTTTTTTTGAAAACTTTTTTTTTTTAATTTCGAAATTTCGATTAAAAATTTTTTTTTAAATTAAATGAAATAAAATAGAATAAAATAAATAAATAAAAAAATTTCAGGGCACAAATAATTTTTTGTGGCTATCTTAAAATATCTTTCTTTTTTCACGCGTCAATTGATTTACTCAATATTTTTCCAAGAGCGCCAAAAGTTTAATCATTTACCTTTTAGGGATTCCTGTGAGTCTGTTTTCGTGCCATTTCAAGGGGAAATTATGAGTTTGTTTTATTGAGAACGTTGGTTTTTTATGTTTATAAAAGGATCACGCCCAAAGTGAATCTTTTGTTTCTGGGGATTACCTCGCCTTCCCCAGATTTCTAAACAAACTTTTTTCTTTTTTAAAGGTCTTTTTTTTTCGATTCTTACACATGTCTAAAAACGTCGTTGATGATTCTTTCCCGACCAATGAACAACAATTATGTGTGACCACGACCGAATCTTTATATACCGAAGGATCTGATCAAGATTACAAACCACCGAGATGGTCGGAGGAATCGGTCAATTATCAAAAAAACGAAAATGAACTTACACCAGAAATAATTTCTCCAATTTATGATGAAAATATCGTAGTGACACCTCCGATCGATGGTTCTTCTGTATCAACCGATTCTCCTACTAAAGAATACTCATCAAACGGGACTCCAATCTGTTTATCAAACTGTGCTTCAACTCTTACTGAAACACATATAGAACCTTCAGAGAATACAACTACTACACTTGAAAATAATGAAGATTCAAGACAATATGACAATTATTTTGATGCATCAATTAATCATTCAACTTTAAATGATCGAACATACTTTCATAATTATTATCAGTATGTTCCACCTTCTTCTATTCAACAAACATCCATGACAAATAATAATCAAACTACAACTTTAAACACAACTTTAAATACAACTTTAAATACAACTTTAAATAATGGTGGATATATGATGAATACTGGACCAAGAATTGATCCAAGTCTTTTGAATTATGAACATAATTTAACAGTTCAAAATCCTAATAATTATGGACAAGCTTATGCAAATATGTCAGTTACGAACAATACCATTTCAAATCAAGCACTATATTGGAATGAACAAATGCCACGTGGATTACAGACACATTTTTATGGATCACTTCCTGCCAACGCATCTCTTGGATATGATCATTTGACACATCAAATTATTAATGGACGTTCGCCGAATTCCGCAGCTGCTTTGGTCACGGACCAAGCTTATATGATTTTGGATCCATTACTTACTAGTAAAGGAAAGAAAAAACGTGGGCGTAAACCAGAAACAGAATATTCAAATATTATGCCTTTACATTCACCTGCTTCTGCAGATGGAATTAGACAAGGAGAAATTGCGCAATGTTCTAACTGTGGCGTAAGAGATACACCTGCTTGGAGGCGTGATCTACAAGGTGTCGCGTTACTTTGCAACGCGTGTGGATTATAGTAAGTTGATTAAATTTTATTAATTCTGAATTAATTCTAATTATTATTATTTAAATCTAGTTATATAATTATGTATATAACTATATTAATACAACTATATATCTGTATATAACTATACATATAACCATACATACATATATATATATATATAATTAATTATTATTAATCATATTTAATATTATTTATATTCAATTATATAATATCATCAAGTTTAAAAAACAAAGGAATTCATCGTCCAACAGAACTTGCACCAGATGGTACTGTTCGTCTTATGAGAACTCAACGACCTGAACCCGAATTTGCATGTAATAATTGTGGTACTCGTAACACACCTTGTTGGAGGGGACCTGAAGGTCAAAAACTTTGTGGGTTTAAAATTTGAATTGAATAATTTTTATATTTAAAAACTTTATCTGATATTTACGCTATATGTACATAGGTAACAAGTGTGGGTTATTTCTTAAACAACATGGATATGCGCGTCCTCCAAGTCCAATGCTTGCGAAATTTAATTAACCATTATTTATATATGTCCCTTGTTTCCCTATTCTTTTTTTTATTTTTTTTTTATTTTAAACTTTGAACTTTTTTGTATATAGATTCATTTTAAACAATTCTAAATGTGTTCTAAATATGTTCTAAATATTTTCTAAATTTTTTAAATGTTTCTAAATGTTTTCTAAGTATATTGTAAGTGTGTATTGTAAATGTGTTGGGTGATACGATACGTACCTATATTAACGTTAACTAGATTAAACATAAATTATTAAACGTGTTATATTTTTTCATGTAGATTTTATTTTTTATTTTATTATCACTATTTTTATTACTATTTTTATTACTATTTTTTTATTACTATTTTTATTACTATTTTTATTACTATTCTTATTACTATTCTTATTACTGTTATTGTTACAGTTATTGGCACTGTTATTGTTACTGTTATTGTTACTGTTATTGTTACTGTTATTAGCACTGTTATTATTACTGTTATTATTACTGTTATTAGCACTGTTATTAGTACTGTTATTATTTTCCTCTATATATTTTTTTATTGTAATCTATAGAATAGTTTTAGTACAAATTTTTTAATATATTTTGATATGTATTTGATTGATATATACATGGGTATATTAGGGTAAAGTTAAATGATAATAATGTTAATAATGTTAATTGAAAAATTTCCTGTAAATAGGTTTCATCCCTTGTTTTTCCTTGTTTTTCCTTGTTTTTCCTTGTTTTCCCTTGTCTTCTTAATCGAAAATATATACGTACAGTACATATGTATGTTTCAAAAGCAAATCATTACGAACAGTACAATAGTGTGAATTTTTTTTCAATATTGACTCGGGTACAATAACATAATAAGGTAGCATTAAGAATCTAAACTAAAAAAGAACAAACTAAACCTCACACAAAACATTTTATTACGGTAACATATGATAAAGGGACAAAGATAAAAAAAACAAAAAGGGTCCAGGATGAATGGCGTAACATTATAAATCGTATGGGTAAATGTTGCTTATCCAAATTAATCAGAAAAATTTTACATGCATGTAAATGTTAAATTATATTGTTATTTACTGCAAGAATAAAAGATCTATCTATGCATAAAAAAAGGGATAATTACATAATTACAGTTTGATTATTTAATAAATCAATTTTAACAAGTCAAATAAGAATTACAAATGTCAATATAAAATTTGATGAATTATTTTAAAATTGATCAAGTTTCTGATATTTCTATTTAAATTTCAAGTTTATAAATGTGTCTTGTGCAGAAAATTAGCTTGATAACTCACATGGGCGTACTCGAAAATAATCGAAATAACGCTCTGGCGATCAAAAATAACTCGTAATTGCCCCTCATTATGAAAAATGTATCTTAATTCTTTTGGCTAGCTTACAAGTCGACAAAAGAATTTGTCCATCAATCAATGAAAATGCAGTATCGTTGTGCAATATCTAATCATCATCATCTAATGATTTTAATGACTCTAACAATGATCACTAACGATAAAAGATTTATCGTTCAATGAAAATGTGGTATCGTTGTGCAATATCTAATCATCATCATCTAATGATTATAATGACTCTAATGATCACTAGCGATAAAAGATTCATCGTGCATATTATTTGAATAAAAAAAAAATACGATAATTAACAGGAAGAAATTAAATTAAGATAAACCTAGCATATATAAGCTCCATCGCGTAATAAGCGAAAGATTTCTAGTGTAGAGGCTGTTTAAAAAACAGAAAGTCTCCTTCTCTAATCCAGATAAATTGAAATTTTATTTTACAAGTTATTGTATTTCGAAAAGTCAAGTTATGGTGTTGTATAGTATTAATCTGACACTTTAAAAGATTGTGTTATTGTCATTCTAACACTTCTATATACCATCTATGTACCATCTATGTACCATCTATGTACCATCTATGTACCATTTATGCACCATCCATGTATCATTCATGTACCACCTACGCATCATCTATATATCATCTACTGTATGCACCTTGAGATCTAGATACTGTCCAAATTGACGTTTAAAACCAATTTAGCGTTAGGGTTCTGCAAGTTCCGGGCAGGGCTAAAACGACACATAGTAAATGCCTGCCATTCAATAAGTGTCGTTCTTGATTCACATTATATTATAATTTTTTAATGCAGTATTATACGTATGCATATGTTAGTCTATTGTTAAAGACGATCAAATATTAAATATTTCTACAGTACTAATAATTTTTATGTATCAAGAAAGATACTTCAAACAATAAGCAATGGCGCAGTAAATGGCAGGCATTTACTATGTGTCGTTTTAGCCCTGGTTCCGGGTACTATTAAAATAATGTTCTTTTGTGAAAGAAAATAAAGGGGCGTGCCATTTGTCACATAATCTTTATTACTTAAAAGCGTTACCTATTCATGTATCTATTCATGTATCTATTCGTGTATTTATTCATGTATATATTCATGTATATATTCATGTATATATTCATGTATATATTCAGTATCTATTCGTGTATCTATTCGTGTATTTATTCGTGTATTTATTCATGTATCTATTCATGTATGGCGTCATTAACCAAATCTCATCGAGAATTTCCTTATTTAAATGAACATAGAAGAGAGACACAAGTAATAACGAACTGACCTCATGTATGCATCAGATGAGAATTTTTTCATTCTCCCCAATACTAAAAAATTACACATCTTTGTCGATTCAAAAGAATTTATTTATTTTAAGAACAAAAGAAATTAAAGAAATTAGTAAAAACTTCTAATGAAAGGAGAATGAAATTTTAAAATCATATGAAATACATGAATTTTTCATAATCCGAGTTATGTAGTACTTTGTGAGTTCCCGAACTGTGTTTCAAAGAAATTGCATATGAATAAAGGGCGTATTTTTTTGGCTCCTTATTAACATTTAACAAAGTTTAAGAACTGTATGTATGACTTGCACGAAATGGTATGTATTTTTCTTCCTTGCTATGTATTTATTATTTTCATTGTCGAATTTAACCGACAGCTCATATAAATCACATTTTCCAAAACAGAATTAACAGTGAGTCACCCCCTTATATCGATATGTATATTATATAATTTGCTAAGTAACTACACTTCAGGGAGACATCAGATTATAATCATATTCCAAGATTGTGAACAAAAACAATTGTGAACAAAAACAATTTCGTATTATCAGAACAAAGATGTGTTTATCTTTGACTTTTGCTAAGAATCGCGAATGATAAGCAATAATACGCATTTACTATTATATACATATCAATCTATATATTATAATATATATACTGTATTAGATATATATCGATATATATATTATATACTATATATTTTGTTATCTGTTATCGTTTATTACATTTACAATATTCGATATTGTAACAAATTTATTACATATCAAATTATCTGTTATCTATTCTCTATTACAACCGTTTGCAAGTTTACCCAGTCATTCGATGTTTTAAAGTTTTATTCATGCACCAAGGTAGCATCAGGGTGTAAGATAGATTTTCCGATCACATGGTTATTAGATAACACGTTAACGTTAATGTAACACCATGTGATCGGAAAATTTATCATACATGCTGCGTACTACGTTTGTTTCTTGTAACCTGGAAAAATCGTTAACGTTAAATCTGATATTCTATTTACCAACAATTTGGTTTCCAAATAAAGTGAATATAATGATAATATAATAATTACAATGTAAAATGAATCGTTGAATAAAACCGAATGATAATAGAATGTAGAAATATAAAAAAGTAAACCTTTGTTTTAACGTCAACGTTTAGAATAAGATTAGGGTAAGATTAAGGTAAGATTAGGGTAAGATTAGGGTAAGATTAGGGTAAGGTTAGGGTTTTAAGGTAGCAGTGCATAATTTATAACCAAAATTTATACCAAAATTTATACCAAAATGTATAACCAAAATTTATAACCAAAATTTATACCAAAATTTATTACCAAAATTTATACCAAAATTTATTACCAAAATTTATAACCAAAATGTATAACCAAAATTTATAACCAAAATGTATAACCAAAATGTATAACCAAATGTATAACCAAAATTTATTACCAAAAATTTATTACCAAAAATTTATTATCAAAATTTATTATCAAAAATTTATTACCAAAATTTTATTACCAAAATTTATTACCAAAATTTTTTGTAAATTTATTACCAAAATTTGTTACCAAAATTTGTTACCAAAATTTATTACCAAAAATTTATTACCAAAAATTTATTACCAAAATTTGTTACCAAAATTTGTTACCAAAATTTATACCAAAAATTTTATATGAAATCTTTTAAAACCCAAAGATAAGTAATAATAATTTGCATCCTGATTTGCTTTATGTATACCAATACACTGTACTGTACATACGCGCAGCGTACAAGATAAAAATTGCCTTTAAACTACACATATTAATTAAATTTATGAATTATTGTCCTCAAGTCGAAGTAACGGATAACTAATTATTAACAAAGTATTGATTGACCTATAGTGCTTTTCAAATTATATACTATGATCAAAATAATATACTATGATCAAGTTTTATACATCAAACATACCCCGTGATCGCCTATTTTATACATTATAAAGTTCTAAGATTTAAAAACTTCTAACCAAGATTTCTTAATAATAGTCGGGAAATCTCAGTTCTTAAATCCATCATTTTCGAATTTTTTACTAATCTAGAGTTTGAAAATAACTTCAAAAAATAAAGATACATATCTTTGCCCAAAAATTTGTGTAAATTTAGACAAAAAACCAAAAATTTTTATTTTTGTTAAATAACTAACTACAATATCTGATATCTATTATACAAATAAATATTATACTATAAAATTAAATTTTATCAGGAAATAATTGAAATTGTTATATTTTTAAATAGGGATTTGCTGATTTCTATGTGATAGGCGACCACAATAATTTGAATAGCACTCTAAATATCTCCTGTTCTTCGTACTGATGTCATGTATCCTTTATTCATTAGTTCTACATTTGACATTTCTAGTGCATCCAATGTTGAACCTATAGTAGGATTTAATAATTGTGAAGCTGCAGGACTTCCATGAATATTGACACTTGATGATGGAACTATCGATCCCATTTCACCCATATCAACTAAATTCCTACGATTTGACATGATTCTTCCAGCTGACCATTCAGAAAATGGTTGTCCGTTAGACATATCAGTTACCATAGAATAATCGTATGCATATGGATTATTGTTATATAATGTCATGTTTTGTGGGAACAATCCTTCTTCGTTGGTGTTTTCTCCACTTTCATTACTTCTTGAGAATCTTCTTATAAGCCCTGGTGAGACCGTAGGCGATCGAAGGAAATTTGTCCATGTATCTCCCATAAATGGATGTTCCATATTACCATATAACCACCGAGATGATAAAATTTGATCAGGAAATGCATTCATGGATGTATTATTAATTATATTAACGTCTGTTGCGTTAATTGAATTATTCCAATAAGCCATGAGACCTGCATCTGACGTTTCACTCAGATTTGGTGAATATCGTTTTTCTAATGTTTCCGATAATCCTTGATCTTTCTTCATACTATCCAACACACATCTCAATTTATTAGCTGTTGCCCATAATTTCCCAACTTCCTCCAAATATTGTTCAATAATTTTTAGATTTTCTTTTGTTACATTAAAAACTGTAATATCTTCATTCTTCATATGATTTATGTAAATTGTTGCTGTTACATACATAGGATATGTGGTAAAAGGACATGCACATGGACATCCGATTTTCAGAATATCAAAAGCCACTGATCCAACTTGTTTTGCTGCGTTATAACAACGCTCAAAAGATAAACGATAGAATTCGGTTGGGATTGTCGTAATAGTTTCATTTTTCCGTGACTTTATGACTGATCGATTAAGGACGACAACAGCCGCCTGATAAAATAAATGAATTGCTGCGAAAACACCTGACATCTCAACTGCCATTAATTCTACCATTTTTTCACGGGAATAAACATAATGAGGTAAGATCGACTGATACCAAAGCTCTAATTCATTTTGTAACAAAGTGAATTCTGATGATGGATCCCATGGTGGTAATGCATTTGTTGGTCTTGGACGATTAACATATGTACATACACGACCTAATAAAATGGCCACGCTAAAAAAGCATGCATTAATTCCATTTGTAGCTAGTGTAAATAACGATCCCTGTTTAGTGTAATTATTATTTAATTCATTAATTGCAGGGCTATTATAAGGATTTTCCATCTCCCAAATTGATTCAATGCAAGGAAATCTAACTTCACAATCTTCTTCCTGAATAAGTGATGGTCTCCCTAAAGCGCATGACGAAAATCTAATACAAAAATGAAAGAAAATTTGAATATTTAGTGAATAACTTATGTTACCAATTATGAGCATATAAAAATACCTATCAAACACGAAACAAGTCCAAAAAGTACGTCTTTTCATTTCTTTAGTTATAAATGCGTCTTCAGAAAGTTTACTATCAGGTGAGGAATTCGAAGTGGTTTCATCAACTCTATGTAGACCTAATGAATGTGCCATTCTGATATAAAACATTCAATCTCGATAAAGTAAAAATTATAATATTGGCAATAACATGAAATTTAAATGAATTTAAATTTAATACCTTATAGCCATACCAACATAAGTATAAGTTTTTGCGCCATTTGCTGAACCAAATCCATATAACGCAAGCAATAAAAATGCTACATTCAAAGAGAAATTAATTCAAAAATAAACAAAAATAAACCAAAATCAAACTTAAAATCATAAGAATAAATAATACCTTGAACATGTTCAATACATCCTATGTCTAATGATTCTAATATAAATTTTGATGCTTGAGTTGCATAAGGCTCACCAGCTAGATAAGGTGGCTCTCGCCTAATATTCGGATGATCGGAATATCTAATAATATAATATGATGGTTAATATATTTATGCAATAATATACATATTTAAATGAATCATAAAGACCGAATTTATAATTTACCTTGCACTCACAGCGCACATAGCAAGGATTAGGAAAGGTGAAATTTTATTTTGTCGTAGTCGACGCATAAAAGTATGTTGATGGAACATTGAAAGACTTCCACCACGATGTCGGAAATAACATAAAGCTAGATGTTCAACAATATCTTCTGTTGGTAATCCATTTGATACGAACACTACTGAACTTTGAATATGTGATTGAAGAATTACTGAAGAGGGCATTTGAGGGCATCTCTTTTTATATCCTGGATGCACCGCAGTATTGCCAAAAAATAGATAATCACACGATTCTTCTAGTTTTATATGTGGACTATTCGACGAGTTACGATCGTCTTTTATCGATTCACCATTCTTATTTCTAAGTTGATTTTGTTGTGGCCTTAAAGGCTGAGAAAATGCGTCAATAGATTCTGCTTGTACATTATGACTGCTAGGACCTGGTCTATTAAATTGGGGTAATGGTGTGGAAGCTTGAGTTTTTGAAGTTGAAGCCATGAACTCTCGAGATTGTTGTTGAAACCTAGGAATTGTTGATGCGGCCGAAGAATTCGGCTCAGAAGTTAACTGATCATCAAGGTCATCGTTACTGGTATTAGAGTCAGTAGAATTAACCCGAGATTTTTTAGTTAAAGGACTAAGTGATTGATCATCGGAATCATCCACAAGTCCTTGCTCCTTAAGAGGTTGTAAAAGTTTCTCCATTTGTTGAAGACGCTTTTCTAAACTTTCGACTAATCCAACTCTTGGACCCCTTTTTCGTGTACTTGGTAGGTATGTACAGGGAACATTGAGTCGAGTACAATTATTACAAGACGGTTTTTCGCCACTACATTTAACTTTTTTCTTTCGACACGCGTCACATGCTTGAGTTAAACGTTTACGTTTCGCAGGTGCATTCCCATTATCTTTTTCACCCGCACCATCTGAATTATTATCACCTGTGAAATTAAATTGATTTACTGATGTTGACATCTTTTGAAAAAAATTGATTTGTTCTCTGCGAATTATAAAATTGATAGGAAAAATTTGCAAAAGTTAGCAATGATTCTTTAAACAGATCACGTGAATCTATTACAAATACTACATATAAGCTTTCGTGATAAAAATCTTATAAAAAAATACCGGATAATTAACGGCGAAAACAAGATCCAAAACAATAGTATCAGAAAAAATTACTAACAATTAATCCACTAATAATATTGCTATAAATACGAACGAAAAAAAAAAGAATCATCCAAGAATATTTTTTTATAAAATTAATTTTCTCTAAAATACTCTCTTTAACATATGAACACTGTGTTTAATGAGTTAAGAAAGTGCAGATAAGGGAGACGGAGAAAAAGATACCCGAATTATATGATTCTTTGTAGGTGAAACTTTATTTAAATGTAATGCATTAGTAGTTAAATAAAAAAGGTTCTAAATAAGAAAGATCAACCAGGTAAGGTCTCGCAGTGTAACCATAGCACGTAATAAAATATTTGTCAGATCGATATAAATTTGTCATCGCTAAAGATCTGTATTAGTTGTATTAGTAATAGTTACGGCGCAGCAAACGTAACAATCCGATTCTATTTTTCCAAAAAAGTAAAATTTGCTGCTTGAATAGACCCAATCAACGCTAATTAAGAGGTACGTATAAAAAAAAAATCGTTTGGATGCATTTTAGAAAAATATCAAAAAACACTTACATTAAAAAAAGTATTAAAAATAAAGAGGAACTAACAATATATTATTAGGAACCAAAAGTAATAATTAATTCTGGTTTATATACGTTCGTAGCTGTTTTATAGACTGTTGAGTTATTTTGAAGTTCTCATGAGTCATGATTGGCAATGTTTTCAACTTCGTATTTGTTTACAAAAACAAATCATTTGACTTTATTAGGAATATGTAATTATAGCGATAGTAATTATGAACATTATGAACGGTTTGCCGTTAAAGTTGATGCGGAAATAACCATTTTAACATCGTTTTATTTAAATGAGATTACAGTAGATCAATATAATACAGGCCGAAATTAACAACCATACAGTACTGATCAGCTAATATATATGTCGTAGGTAGGAACAGAATTTAAGTTGATTCGGAATTTTTAAGGTTAGGGTTGGGATTTTTAGTATAATTATTCTGTTCTAATCTAAGTGGATTTTATGATTCCATTCTCACTTACAGCACGTATAAACCTATATCCTAATCCTATAATCCTAAGAAATTCTATATCACTTAAATTTGTTTCTACTTAAACATAACTTATAATACCAGATCAGTATGGTGCAGATTCTAAAATTCGGCCTGTATCATATTGATCTATACTGATCTGCAAAACACCTATGTACGTATTCAAAATTGTATCTTTTTAAAAAAAATACACAATTTGATAGTTCTTATTAAAATTAAAGTTATTCAATTTTGAATTTATAGTTCAAATATGGATTTTAAATTTATGATTTTCAATATTTTTTAGGCATCTCCCGCAATATACATGTCGAAATTATTTCTAAAGTCGAAACTATTAAGGTTTATGTTGTAACTAGTTTTGAATAAGCCAAATAATTTCGGCCATACGTATTCCCGCGTGATATGTATCTTGAAATTTCGTGTAACCCGAGCTTGATCCGCGATTCAGATATGAAATGGACCAACCAATGATATTAATTAGCTGATTGTCAATGTCCAACCTAATACAGTACGGGACAGTAAAAGACGTCCAATCTATACATATAGTCGCCAATTTTTGGTGCTTATATAATCAATTCTGATTGGCTAATTTTTGTGTAATTGATTCTGATTGGTTAAAAATATATATGTTTTCTTTTTTTCTATATTAAACGCCAATTTTTAAACTTATACGTATAAACTTTAATCCTTTATAACTTTTTCAAACCAAATAATAAAAAAAAAAACCCTCTGAAAGAAATGTAGTTTATCTAAAAATCTATCAATTTGTCAGAGGGTTTTTTAATTTAGCTTGTTTTAAAGAAGTTATAACATTTTAAAGTTTTTATTAATAAATATTGGATGCGTTTTACTGTACAAGCTAACATTATAGCAAATTACGATCTGAGCAGCTTTACTTAGTATATTAGTTAGCGGTTTTATCAGTAAAATTCTCTGATTTCGGGCATAATTAAGTTCGGAAGCTCGAATTTTTTGTACATATACAACTAACCTACTATAGTCATATCTTTTTAGAATTACACCAAAAATTTTTAGTGCTTTTTTTTTTAAAAAAAAAAGTGCTTATAAAAATCTGTGTTTATATAGAAAAAAATTTTTATTATATTGTATAATTTAATAATTTGTTTTAAAATAGATGTGTTTATAAAAAAATTTTACAGTCTAACCTTTCTAAATACAATCTTTCTAAATATACGTTTGCTAAATACATGCACGGTTCCACTGTGGTCCTATTATAATATGTACTTAATAGATTTTTATCTTCTTAAATACAATATTTTTCTAAATACAAGATTTTATATAATTTGTTTTAGAGAGGTTTGATTATATATAATATATTTATATAGAAAGTAACTATAGAAAAGATTAACTGTATATCTTTTTATATTTGTTGGCCAATAGCAAGCCATTATTTAGTATAATTAATATAATTAAAAAGGATAAATATATACATCGCACTATGCGATACACTTGTAATATCACGCTTATATATAAACAATAATTGCAAATCCGTGTAACGCAAAATCAAAATCCATTTTTATATATCAATTAATCGGGTTTAACATTAGT